GAAGTAGATTGTCCAGCCTTCCTTCCGAGGAGTGGCTGGTGGGTTTGAACCGCCAGCCTTCTGGTTAGCAGTCAAGTGCCTTAGGCACTATGCTACCAGAGCTCCTTTTACAGAGGATGAGTTGTACTTATCCCAACTTTGGGACCTCAAAAGATGTTACAGAAAAGGTACAATTGGACTGTTTTGGGGGACCAGCAGTGGCTATCCAAACAGAGAAAGGATGAGAAGGGGGTGAGAGATATTATAAGGAAAAGTAACTTCATGTACAAAAATAAAGGGATAATATAAAATCAGGCTTATTCAGGGTAGAATAACTCATTGTCACAGGGGTGACAGCGAGAAATAGAAGTAGGTAGATGCAAACTTGCGAAGTACTTTGTTTTGTATTGATAGATAATTTGGACTTAATCCTAAAGTTTTTAATGACTTTAAGCAAGGGAATATTGCATTGGAAAAAAAAAAAATCACTCTACCTTGTGTAATTAAAAGTGAAGAAGAAAGGAAGAAATAAATAAACCACAATTACACAAAATTCAGCATCAGAGGAGAGTAAATACCTAGAATATTTTGTGCAACCCTACACTAGTAAATCTGAGAATATTAAGAAAACATATGAATAAAAATGATTCAAGAAGATATAGGAAACCCAAATTGACTAATAACCATGAAAGAAATGAGAATATTATTAAAGACTTATTAAAATTGGACAGGGTCTAGATGGTTTCACCAGTAAATTCCTTTAGGTCTTTAAGAAATAGATAATTGCTGTTTAATTTAGTAGCTATTGCAGATCATTGAGGGAGAAGGAAAGTATCTCAGTTATTTTTTGTAAAATCCACATTTTTTGTTGTTCTTATGTGCCATCGAGTTGTCTCTGACTCATTGAGACCTTATGTACAACAGAACAAAACACTGCCTGGTCCTGTGCCAGTCTCACAATCCGTACTATACCTGAGCCCATCACTGCAGCTACCGTGTTGGTCCATCTTGTTGAGGGCCTTCCCCTCTTTCATTGACCCTCCACTTTACCAAGCATGACATCCTCCTCCAGGGAATGGTTCTTTTTGACAACATGACCAAAGTAGGTAAGACGAAGTCTGGCCACGTTTGCTTCCAAGAAGCATTCCAGCTGCACTTCTTCCAGGACAGATTTGTTAGTTCTTTTAGCAACCCATGATACTTTCAGCATTCTTCACCAACACCACAACTCAAAAGCATCAACTCCTCTCTGATCTTCCTTTTTCATTGTCCAACTCTCACATGTGTATGAGGCGATTGAAAATACCATGGCTTGGGTTAGGCTCATGTTAGTCTTCCAGGAGATACCGTTTCTCTTCAGTGCTTGAAAGAGGTCTTTTGCAGCAGATTTGCCCAATGCAATACATCTTTTGAAGTCTTGACTACTGCTTCCATTGGTGTTGATTGTAGAACTGAGTAATATAAAGTCTTCAACAACTTCAGTGTTTTCTTCATCTATTGTGATGCTGCTTATTGGTCCAGTTATGAGGATTTTTGTTTTCTTTATATTCTTTTTATTGAGATGTAATCTATACAGTAGACAGACAGATAACAATGATTCAAAAAATGGAGAAAGCACAAAAATAATCTCAATAATAAAAGGCGATTATTGATATAAAAATCCAAAATAAAATATTAAATAAAATTCAGAAGTACATACAAAGAAAATAAGGATAGAAATAATGCAAAGATGATTGGTATTAGACAGTTGTTTAAAATTATTCTGTATTTTAAGAGGCAGAGCTGAAGGCCATGGTTGAAAGGCTTTCACCCAGCCCCTAGAGCCTGACA